TTTCTTTCTTTCTTTCTTTCTTTGTCTTTTTGAGACAGGATCTCCCTGTAGCCCTAGCTGGCCTGAAACTCACTATATAGACCAGGCTGGCCTTGAACTCACAGAGATCCAGATCCGCCTGCCTCTGCCTCCCGTGTGCTGGGACTAAAGGCATGTGCCACCACGCCCGGCTTATTATTTTCATTTTATGTGTATGAGTGTGTTGTTTGCATGTATGTAAGTATATCACATGCTTGCAGTGCCTGAAGAGGCCAAAAGAGGGTGTCAGATCCTCTAGAACTGGAGTTACTGATGGTTGTTAGTGGCCATGTGGGTGCTAGGAACTGAACCTGTGTTGTCTACAAGAGTAGCCAGTGCTTTTCACCTCTGAGCCATCTCTCCAGCCCCTTATTTTTCTTTCTGTAAAGCAGATGAACCCTGTCACCACCAGAGAGTTCTTCTACTCAAAATCAGGCAACCCTCCATTCTCTCTCCCCACCATCTGCAATGCTAGGGATGGAACCCTGCACCTCACTCACACTGGGTAATCAAATTCTGTCTCTAATACTAAAACTCTGATCATTCTCCAATTTGTATATATGTCTTTTTCTTTTTTTTCTGTTCAAATAGGGAACAAGCTTTACCCTGTATACAGATCCAGCTGCAAAGGGAGATCTGTGATTTTGGGAATCAGACTGACCTGCCTTCTGGAAACGGAAACAAATCTTCAGGAGGCCTACAGAAGACATTCTCCAAACTGACATCCCGGTTCACCAAGAAAGTCTCATGTACCAGCTCCAGCAGCAACACAAACTATTCCATCCCAAGTACCCCTTCCAAAAACATCTTCATGGCTGGGTGTTCAGAGGAGAAGGCCAAAATGCCCAGCACTATGGATACTCGCTTACAAAGCATTTTGAACATCGGTAGCTTCCCTAGGACTACGGACCCTTCCCAGTCAGCTCAGAATTCCAATAATCCGATGGCCAATGGTTTTCTCCTGGAGAGACGAGAGAACTTCCTGCATGGGGATGATGGCAAGGATGAGAAGGGTATGAACTTGCCAACGGATCAGGAAATGCAGGAAGTGATAGATTTTCTCTCAGGCTTTAACATGGGCCAGTCACATCAGGGCTCCCCACTGATGACAAGGCGTAATTCTGCCACTACCATAGTGACCGAGCAGAAGGCAGGAGCCATGCAACCACAGCAGCCATCACTGCCAGTGGCCCCTCCACCACGGCCATCCCAGACTGGGGCACACACGCCTCTGACACCCCAGCCAGGTCTGGCACCTCAGCAGCAGTCCCCAAAGCAACAACAACCCCAGGTCCAATACTATCAACACCTGCTCCAACCCATTGGACCACAGCAGACCCCACCCCAGCCTCGGGCACCTGGAAAATGGGTACATGGCTCATCCCAGCAGCCAGCACAGCCTGTGGGAGCAGGCCTGTCTCCTCTTGGTCAGTGGCCTGGCATATCTGATCTCAGCTCTGACTTGTACAGCTTGGGCCTCGTGAGCAGCTATATGGATAATATGATGTCAGAGGTTTTGGGACAGAAGCCACAAGGACCTAGAAATAATACCTGGCCAAACCGTGACCAAAGTGATGGTGTCTTTGGAATGCTGGGAGAGATTCTGCCTTTTGATCCTGCAGGTAGGTGCGGCCTCTCTACCACTCACCCCATTTAAAAACAAAATTGTGGGGCTGGGGAGATGGCTCAGCGGTTAAGAACACTGGTTGTTCTTGCAGAAGACTCAGGTTTGAATCCCAACACCCACATGGCAGCTAACAACTGTAACTCCAGTCCCAGGGGATCCTACAGCCTCTTCTGACCACCGTAGGCATTGCACGACAGGGGTGCACTTACCTACATGCAGGCAATACACATATACACATAAAATAAAAATAAATAAAATTGCAAGCAGGTGAGGTGGTGCTCGCCTTTCATCCCAGCACTCGGGAGGCAGGGGAGGCAGAGGCAGGCAGATCTCTGTGAGTTCAAGACTAGCCTGGTCTACATAGTGAATTCCAGGCCAGCTGGGGCTACAGGGAGACCCTGTCTGAAAAAGACCAAAACAGAAAAAAAAAAAGTAGAGGAAGAATTTAGGAACAAAATTAAATTATAAGGAGGAATTAGGAATAAAACCACAATAAGTAAATTACTAACATGGTAGACATTT